GGAGGAGGGCGGGAGGAGGGCGGGAGGGCCCCCAGAAGAGAGAGGCAGCACCCACGCCTGCGTGCTTAGCTCCGCCCGCCAGTGTGGGAGCGTGGAGGGGAGGGCGGTGGGAGGAGACGGAGGCGGGGCTGGAAAAGGAGCCAATCAGATGCCAGAACGAAGTACTTTGTCGACCGTCCCTGTCTCGGACGGGGCGGGGCCATGGCTTGGGGCGGGGAGAGGGTATATGCTAAATGTGACGTACCTGATGACTCTTGCCTCCCGATTGGTCGACGCTTTAGCCTTGGGGGCGGGCATTTAGAGGGCTGGTTGGTGACTTGGCTAAAGAGGTCCGGTCGAAGGGGCGGGTAGGTCCCATCTGGGCGCATGCGTATCATACACGTGTGTCTGCTCGTCCGGGGCCAGCTGGGGCCTTCTAGTCGTTTGAACTTTAGCGAGATGGAAAGGCCCTGTGTTAAGCTAGCTGTGTTAAAGATGGTACCATCCGCTCTTTTGGCCTCTGTACTTTCACCCTCTCTGGTCTGGCAACTATTCATTTTCATCGTAGGGGATGACTGTTATGAAAGTGAGGAGCAGTGGCCTTGAAGTTTAGTTCTCATTTACTAAAAGATCTTAGTAAGCCAGTAGGTAGTTAAAAGGAGTTTGGTTTTATCTATTGGTTTTATCTATACTCCACCCTCTACTAGATATTGATACATCTACCAAGGTCAAGCTAAATAAATCTGACCCTCAAACTCCTGATCTGTAAAATGGAGATGTTAGCTCTTGCAAGATACTTGGGGAAAGAGTACCTCTTAGTTGCAGTACTTAATACACATTGGATGTGATAAATGATTTTACATTTAAATAGTATCCCCTGCCCTGACGAGATGATGACTGTAATCTAGCTTTTTTTTTTTATCCCTGATAAGAGGAGGGGAATGGCATACCATAGTAATGGGGACCAAATGTGCCCATGCTATGTGGTTGTCCCATTTAAGTACCTTCTGGGCCTTGAGAATGAAATGAATCCTTGCATATGAAAAAGGGCCTCTAATGTAAGGTATTAAACTTTCCACTTCCTCCTTCTAAAGACAGAGAACTGTCACAACCACTGAGGAAATGACTCAGACTTATGTTAGTAGCCTTGTGGGGTAGATAGAGCACAGCCAGTAAATGGAGCTACTTCTTGGTCTTTTCCTTTACAGTTTTTCCGTTAAAGTTTGTCTCCCCCATGCCCCCTCCACCTACACTACTATTAACGTACTAAGCCTAGAATATGTCAAAGAAGCAAATCAAGGGCCTGGCCTTGGCCAACAGCAAGCTTACGTATAATTCCGCAAACATAAACTGCCCTCAACCACCTGGGATGGATCTCTAGGTAACTTCCTTCTGTGACACCAGGTATCTTCTTGTGATGCAGGCCAAGTTCAGTATTGCCCCTCCCCCACCTTCCTTAACATCTCTGATCAAATTTCTTTTTCTTCCTTTCTCTCCTTCCCTTGCTTTCCTCCTTCCTCCTTCCCTTCCTTCCTCTTGTTCTTTCTTTCCTCATCTGTGAAGGACCTATTTAGCTATATTTAAGGCAATGTGCTTTGTTCCAGGCAGAGTAATTTGTCATTCTTGTCTTCAACTCCGTTATAATCTAGAAGAAAAGATCTAGATATGAATAACTGAAATTCAGTCCTCCTTTTCTTAGGTCCCCATCAATGTGTCCATGTCTTGAAAGAATTAATGATGGGAAAAAAGCAGAGAAGGTACAGCAGTTGAGGGTTAATGCAGTAAAATTCCCTACTGCATCTTTCAGTGTGATTGATAGCATGCTCCCCAAACTTGGTCATATGTAAAAAACTCAGGTCAGGCCAGTAGAGAGACCAGGGTCTTTGTGGTTGTGTCATTATCTGTAGTTAATAGTCTCCTCCATGGAGCTGGTCTCCTCCACTTTGAATCCCCTGACCTGAAACTGACAGCATATATTCCTACTAGGTTTTCCTCTTAAATCTCCCTTGCTACCCTCCTCCAGATGGGTTACACAGAGCCCTGAATCCTCATCTTCACCCTGTCCTCATCCTGAAGCATCATCCGGCTCTCTCAATGTTTGGACCTTCCCCATCTTTAAAGCAAAACAGACCTTCATTTGTACTCGGTAGATGGAAAGTTGAATGGTGGCGAGCACTCGGAACATTACCAGGTATTTCAGGACATCTTCTAAGTATCCTAATGCTGTCTGGAGATTTCTCTCTGAGTCCTCTGAAGTGGTATAATCCAAAGGACATCATTTATCTCCCTCGACAAGGCCCACTGAGCTCCAATGTTCCATGAGCTCAAGAGCTGGCACAGGGCAACTGGGCCCAGCCCCATTATCCCTGGGTTCTTTTTTGCTGAGCTATTCATTCCAAGTTCCATTCTGCTACCTAGGCTGGAAATTCCACACACGCTCAGCTCAAAGGAATGCAGCTCATGCTGGCCAAAGACTTGCCAGGAAATGGAGAGTAACTTTTCATTTGTGGCTTCCTTTCTCAGATCTGTGAGCTACTGCCTGGCCTGTTCCACTGACGACCTTTTCCAATTGGGGAGCAGCTACTTTCAGGTCACTTCCTCTGGTGAAACCTCTACTGACTTCTACAGGCAGCCTGGTTCCTGACCTTTAAAGGCCCAGAGACCTTTTGTTTGGTATGGGTGTTTGATGCTTTCCTGGTATTTGCATGATTTGTTGTTTAACTATTCATCCACTCATTAACTCATTCATGTATGTAAAACATTTATTTAATGAGTACCTACTGTATGCCAGGCCTGATGTTAGGAGTTAAGTATAAGTCAGATACAGGCCCTTCCCTCACAGAGCTTACTGTATGGTAAACTGGTAGCCAGAAGCACACACGTATACATACAATTATAGCACATTGAAAATGTAATCGGGGCCGGGCGGGTACGCAGCACTTAGAGCCTGGGTTAGAGGTCCACTCCACCAACAGTCAGCCTTGCAGTGGTCCTTGCAGCAGAGAGTGCGGTGAGAGGGGGATCACGGTTTTCTCCCTGGGACCCTCCAGGCCCTCTGGCCTTGGGGCCAGCAGGTGAGCTGGGGGAGCCCGGGGACAGGGCTGTGTCCTGCGGGGCTCCAGAGTCCTCGCCACAGGCACCCATTGGCCAGGCCCAGGCCTTGAAACAGCCGAGAACCTCTCCCTCATCCCCACTTCTGTGACCTAATGGCAGCGGCTCTCTTCTGCAGGACCTGGCCCCCGTTTGGGCGGCTTGAGGAACCTGAGGTCCTGTGCATCTTGCCCCCTCAGTGATGAAGGCTGGGCAGGGTCTGGGGACCTGGCCCTGAGGGCGCCGCCAGCTGAGATCTGCCTCTTCAGCTCGGCCTGGGCACTGGAGGGAGGACCCAGACTGGGTGCCGGACAAATGCTCCTGGGCAGGGTAACCAGCCTATGCAAGGACCCCCTCCCCTTAGCCAGGGCCTGGACCTTGGAGGGCGAAAGTTGAGCCTTGGAACCTTGCCCTTTCTAGGTAGAACAGAGGATAACAATCATTTTGGTGGAGGTTTACAGGAACACGGTGACCTGACCTCAAGAACAAAGGATCTGACACCAAGAAGTTTGCAGCAACTAACCATGCCTTTCTCTTACCTTTCCTATAAAAGGGCTTTGCTGAAAGCTTTTGGGGAGTTTGGGGTTTTTAAGGCATGAGCCACCCCTCTCCTTGCATGGCCCCGCAATAAACCTTTCTCTGCTCCAAACTCTGATGTTTTGGTATTGTTTCGCCTCACTATGCATTGGACACACGGCCTTGTGTTTGGTAACAAAAAACACTTGAAGGTAAAAATGGTGTTGGGCATACAGCCTACGTCACAGAGGCGTTTGACTGAAATTTGTAAAATGTCTCCACTAGTCCCCAGTTTTCCACATTAACAGGGGATTGCACAAACCATGGACTATCTAAGTGCTCCTTAACATCTTTCCTTGTTGGCTTTAGAATACATAGCCAGTCATGTGTAGCAAAAAATTTGACCTTCTTCAACCTCAAGTCCCTCGTTAGCTCGTCCTTGACATTAAGGTTCTAGTTGGAGGATAAGTGGTTAACAAGAGGAATGAGGTCCCAGACACCAGTGGCTACCCAGAAGATCCTGTTTCCAGAAAGAGGTAAAGGGCTGCCATGCATGACCCTGCACGGCCCCCCCCCCCATATATAAACCTACCACCAAGGCTTGCAAAAGGGAGTTGGACTCATTAAGCCCACCCCTAGTGGATCAGGTCTGCTGTTTGTTAAACCACACGAAGTTGCAGCTATCTGTTTTTTAACCTACCAAAATAGCAGTTCCATATGGTTCAACCTAATATATCTGAGAATAAACAAAAAAATTATGTAAATGAATGAAGAGCTTGGGAACAACCAACCCACCCATTAAGGTGATGTCCTTGATGTAATCTTAGGGGGGAAGGGCTGGAATGTGATGACAGTTGAATAATCAGCAATCTAATCAATTGTATTCTATGGAGAATGCATGAAACAAAGAAAAAGAATGAGGCTGGCATATAGAAAGAGGAAGGAAAAAGAAGTAGGGTAAAGCCAAGAGGCTAGAAGTTGG